TACTGAAGCAAGAAGGGAGAGATTATGGCCCTATTCCTTTCAAGATGTTCAACTCTTGGATGGAATGGGAGGATTTTAATAGCATTGTTTCTAATTGTTGGGGTTCTAGTAATGGCAATTCCATTGAAAATCCACATATTACTTTCAAGAATAAGTTTTAAAAAATTAAACAATGTTTTGAAAGTTACTCATGGTGACAGGAGACGTGGCCTTTTGGATCAAAAGCAACATTTGGAAAATCAATTGGAAAGAATTGATAAAATTATAGATAGAGGTGGGACCGTTGAATCTCTAATTTTCGAGAGAAGAGAGATTATGCAACAAATGTTAGAGTTGGAAAAAAAATGATGCTTCTGATCTACTTCAAAAAATTAAAATTAAATAGGGAAATCAAGGGGATGACAACACTAAATTTTTCCATACCATGTTAAAGAGGAAAAAAAAAAGAATTCTAGCGATAAATGGTAGTAAGGTTGATGGGGATTGGTTAACGGACTCGGTGGCAGTTAAAGGGATGTTTTTTGATTTTTATAAAGCGAGTTCCAAAAGTTTGAAGGGGTGTTGATTTTAAGATGTAGTCAGAGATTCAAGTCTCTTGATTCAGCTCAGGTGGAGAAATTGGAAGCGAGATTCACGATGGAGGAGATAAAAGATGTTGTTTGGTCGTGTGGTGGGGAAAAATCTCCAGCACTTGACAGTTTCACTTCCGCGTTTCTGAAGAAGAATTGGGAGGGTGTCAAGTTTGATGTGATGAAGTTTATGAATGATTTTTTTTACAAGGCTTATATTCCTTTTGGGTGTAATTCATCGTTCATCACACTTATCCCTAAGGTGGATAGTCCTATGTTGGTTATGGACTATCGACCGATCAGTCTCATTGGCATGCAGTATAAAATTATCGTTAAGGTTCTTGCAAGCCGACTTGCTTTGTTTATCGATTTAGTGATTAGTTTTGAACAATCCGCTTTTGTCAAAGGTCGCCAAATCCCTGATGGGCCGTTAACGGTGAATGAGGTGATAGAGTGGTATAAGAAGAAAAAGAAGAAATTATTAAATTTCAAGATTAACTTTGAAAAAACTTATGACTCTTTATGTTGGGATTACTTGTATCAAATGTTACAATTCATGGGTTTTGGTGATAGATGGAAGGGGTGGATCCAAGCTTGTCTTTATTCGGTAAAAGCATCTATGCTGGTTAATGGAAGCCCTTCTAAAGAATTCCAATTAGAAAGAGATCTTAGACAAGGAGATCCTCTTTCTCCTTTTTTTCTTTATCATTGCCATGGAAGGATTACATGTTGCTTTGGAAGATGCAAAAGCTGAAGGTTTTTTGCACGGCGTTGTGGTGGGTTCTGATAATATTATTATTTCTCATATTTTCTATGCAAACGATGTATTGTTGGTGGGAAAGTGGGATAAGATGAATTTGGAAAACATGGTAATGGTGTTGAATTGCTTCTTCATGCTTTCGGGTTTGCAGGTGAACCTTCATAAATCCATTTTGTATGGTGTAGGGGTTATCTATAACAAAGTAGAGGAGATGGCGAGGTTTACTATTTATGCTAGTTGCAGATAATACGTCTTGGGTTCAGAGCTGACAAGGAATTATTGATTGCTTTAAAAAGAAGTTAGCCTCATGGAAACTGAAAATGTTGTCTATAGGTGGGCGTTCCATGCTTCATTCCTCTGTTCTTGGGTCGTTGAGGTTATACTTGATGTCTATGTTTCTGATGCCGGTTCAAGTCAAGAAGACGTTGGAATCTCTCATAGCCCAGTTTTTTTTGGGAGCCGAAGAGGGTTCTAGAAAGATTCATTGGGTTGCTTGGGATTTAATTGTCGCTCCAAAGGATCAGGACGGGGTCGGAATCACTAGTTTGGAGTGTTTTAACTATGCACTCCTTCAGAAGTGGAGATGGCGTTTTCTCACTGAACCGAATTCGATGTGGCGTAAGGTTATTAGTGCACTTCGTGGTAATTGTTCTCATCCTCATTTTGGTAGGTCTAGTCCTGGAAATGGTGTGTGGGATCGTATTATAAAATCTTGGGATATAATGAATGATAAAGGTGTAATTCCTTATTCTACAGCTCTCAGAAAGATTGGAGATGGAAATTCTACTGCTTTTTGGAAGGATTACTAGTGTGGATGCATCCCTCTGGCTCTTCAGTTTCAAGTGTTGTTTCGCCTTGACCATAACCAAAATTGTTTAGTTAGTGAGAGATGTCGTGATGGTTTCTATGTTTCGAATTAGAGTCGAGACCTTCATTAAGGTGTGGAGCTTTCTTAATTTCAAGATCTTTGAGTTTTAGTGGTGTAACGCCCCGTTCCTGGTACGTATTTAATTCAGTAAATGTCATTTTATAAAGAGCTACTCGACGAGTAGTAGCCCTAACTCGTCGAGTAGATGCCAGGAGTTGGACGCGGGTTTTAAGTGATCTACTCGGCGAGTCCGCGCCTTGACTTGACGAGTAGGCCAGTCTGGGGAAAACCCTAATATTTAGGGTTTGCACCCTATTTACGAAACATTATGGGTCTCTTGTCCAGCCTCCATCACCTCCAGAGCATTAATCCCGAAACCCTAATCCTCCATAAGTGAACTTGAGCTTTCTTGGTTATATTGAGAGTTATTTGGTGTATCTTGAAGTTAGTGGAAGAGGTGGAAGCTTGAAGATTCAAGGGAGAAAGAGTAGATCCAGAAACCTGATCCCGTTTGATATCTTTTCTGGTAATCAAGCTTAATACTTGACTTGTAGTTTCATAGATCTTTTTATTGTCACTTTTATGGAGTTTTGGGTCCAAGAAGCTTGATCATTGAGACTTGGACGTCCCAAGTCAATTTACCCTCAGATCTGGAACCTTGGAGGGCCCTCATGGCATAAAGGTGCCATCTTTATGGCCATGAGAACCTCATGTATGAAATAAACCTCATTTTTGGTCTTTTGAGCATAAAAGTTCCATGCATGAAAGTAAAGTTTAGGACTTTACGTGTTATATCGATCTTAGGAGTCTAGATCTACCTTCTAGATGAGTTTTGCACATCAGAAATCGAGTTATAGACTTGGACATGCATAGACTCGACGAGTCGTTCTTGGGACTCAGCGAGTCGTGGGTTGGTGCCCAAAACTGTTATGATTCAGGAGGAACCCAGTTGAGTTTAGAAGGGATTTAGATGAGTCCAGGGAAGGGACTCAACGAAATGGACATAGCCATGGAACTGGAAACAATGGGACTCGGCGAGTGCAGGAACATACTCGGCGAGTCCAAGGCAATCTCCTAACTCATGAAGACGGACTCAACGAGTTGTTCATACAACTCGGCGAGTCACAGACTAGACACGTTCATTTGATGAAGATAAACTCGACGAGTTCAGGAGGAACTCGGCGAGCCAGATGAAGATTTTCCCGATATTATGATTAAAGGAGAACTCGTCGAGTTCTTGCTAAACTCGACGAGTAGAGTCGGGTTGAGAATAGATGAAAGGATTGGGACTCGGCGAGTTGGCGGGCCAACTCGGCGAGTCCGGTCAACTGGAAAGTTGACTTTGACCAGGATGTGGATTTTAGACAGGGGTAAAATGGTCATTTTACCCTAAGGATAGTTATCAGTTTCTGACCAAGTGTCATTGTGGAAATTATAGCCGAGGAGTCGCCGGAGCAGCAGTCAGATATTTTCCGCTCAATGTTTCAATAGCCAGTTACGCGAGGTGAGTTTCCTCCCAGTAGGAACGGGTCTACGGCCACAATGTCGGCCCGTTTAAGTTTTAGAGTATGTCGGGGTGAGCCCGATGGCGGGGTTAGCCCGATGCAGTTTATATGATTCCGGACCTCGGTCCGATGCCGGGGCGGTCCCGAGAAGTAGTTATGTATGCCTAATGTATTTGTGATTCATGCATGTTTATGTGTTATGTGTTATGTGTTCCGGGGTATGCCCAATGCTGGGGCAAGCCCGACGTATGTTAATTATTATCCCATGAATTATATGTTCCGGGGAAAGCCCGATGTATGCTAGTTTATATGTTATGATTATGTGTTCCGGGCTTCGGTCTGATGCCGGGGAAATCCCGATGCAGATTATATGTTTATGATATATGTTATGCCGTGTATGTGCCGGGGTAAGCCCGATGTCGGGTCAAGCCCGATGTCGGGGTGAGCCCGATGCCCGATGCGGTCGGATGCCGGGGTGAGCCCGATGCCGGACAGGAGTTCGATGTCGGGTAAGCCGATGTCGGGATTCGTCCCGATGCAGTTGGGACTAGTCCCAGAGTTATGTTATTTGTTATACGTGATTTATATGATATGAGGTAGTTTGGGGGAGCTCACTAAGCTTCGTGCTTACAGTTTCAGTTTTGGTTTCAGGTACTTCAGCTAGTAAGGGAAAGGGCTCGGGATGATGGCATGACATACACCACAGTTTTCTTAGCCTGGGAGTTTACTCTGATACTTTATATGAGATTGTGATATGATAACAGATTTAATGAGATTTGAGATACACGTTTTAAGATTTTATACCATGGTAATGATATTTATGTTTGTTAAATGATTTTGAAAACGAATTTTTTGGCTAGTATTTTTGGGGATGTTTCAAGTGGAAGGTAGACGGTTAGGAATGAAAGAAGATAAATGGTGGTGGGATTTTGATGATGATAGTAGTTTCTCGGTGAAAGCTACTCGAATATGTATTGAGCAAATATTGTTACCATATGTGGATTGCAATATGATTTGGAATGCTCTGTTGCCTAGGAAGTTAAACATATTTATATGGCGCGTTTTATATGATTGTCTCCCTTTGAGGACGAATTTGGTCACTAAGGGTATTGATGTCTCGTCGATTTTATGCCCTCTTTTCCGTTCCACATGTTGAAAACTTGAAGCACTTGTTTGGGGAATGTGAAATTGCAGCGCGTACATGGGCTTCTGTTTCTCAATGGGTGGAAATGCAAGTTCCTTCTCATTTGCGTATTTCGAGTTTACTTTCTTGGTCGGAATCTTTGATAATTACTAAACTAAGAAGAGAACTCCTTCAAGTGATTGTGATTGTGCAGACTACTTTGTTGGTTCTGTAGAAGTATAGAAACAATGTGCTATTTAGGAATAATGGCAAAGGGAAGGAGCTAATTTTTGATATGATGGTTGATTATTCTTTTTGGGGTTTTCTAGTAGGAATTGAAATGTTTTTATGTCTTTGTCTGAGTGGTTAAAGAACCCTTTAATTTCTATGTAATTGTTTTTTTTCTCTAGCTCCTTGCTAGTTGCTTTTAATAAAAAAATTTAGCCGTTTAGAAAAAAAAAGCCATAGACAAAATGTGCCAAAATCAAAACAAAATTGGTGGGAAATTGAATACACTAATTTCATATACTTGAGGTAATATAACGCAGATTAATAGATATCAGTCCTAGTGTAACGGAAAATTTTAAAATAGAAAGAAATACATATCGAATGAATATTGTTTGTACCGTCTTGAACCTCTTCTCATGCAACACGTTCCCCCTCCATCTCCATCGATCTAAAGCAGAAAACCAAAACCCAAGGTTATTCTCATATAATTAACATTTATATCTCCATCAATCATGTCTACTCTCTCCAACTCTATGTCTCTTAATAGGAAATCAATCAACAGAAACTATGCCGAATCCGCAAAATCAAATCACACATTCCTTGTCAAAAATCAAACACAAAAATGGTTAATAGTAGCAAAAAACCATATTTGATTTACTTGCAATAGTTTACCTATAAACATAATTTCCAGCAAGATATTTGATTTAGAATGCATACCACAAGGTTCAAAGCCAAACACCCATACTAGTTGCTGATCTGCCTTACTTCTCTCTTCCAACTGATTTCGCCGACAACGAGATGGGAACCCACGATGGATGGTCGAGGATCGACAGTCCGCCCTCAATTTGCAGCCGTCCCAGCCGCCTCCCTCCCATCACGATTTCTAAACCACCAGACCACTGTTAGAACGATCATGTAAATATATTCTAATAGAATCTGGAATGTAATTATTTTTGTAGAATGATCATGTAAATATATTCTAATAGAAATAGATATGATACATTCATCTAACCATTTTTATTGTATTTATAAATCCAAGGTTCAAAGCGTTATTAATTGGGTTAATACAAAATTCAATGCATTTTATCTTGTAGTGGAAGCCTTTATATAAAAAGAACTAATAAGAAAGATGGAAACTTAACATGGTGATTACAGTCGATGTATTCCTATATCCTTTCTTTCTATTCCTATATCCTTTCTTTCTGCTTGCTTTTTTGATTAATTTGTTAGGGCTCGAATATCAGCAAAATGCAATTACATTGTTTTACTATGTAGAAGTATCAATGATTTTTTTCTTCCTTAAAGAATTCAATCACATTCAGATCGAGATAAAACTGAACCCAAGATAATAAATTGGATTTACAAATAAATTTATTAATTAAAGAGACCCACAATATTGAGAGAGTAGGATGAAATAATAAACATGTTATAAAATTTCGCATCATGTTGCAGACATGGAGTCGGCACCCTCTGTGAAAACATTGAGTCGACACCATCTGTAGGTGTGGCGGCAATAAGAGCCATCTTTAGGAGGCAAGGCGGTGGTAGATCGAGATTGTCTCCTGCTTCATATCAGGTACCAAAAATACCCCTGATCATAATACACTTACCGAATGCGATTGTCTCCAATGAAGAAAGAGACGTCAATGGTTGTGATTTGGTGTTTAATGGCTGCTGTGGGGAAAGAACACGTCAATTACTTTTGTGGTATGGTGATTTTTGTAGGGTTTAAAAACTGATTTCAAATTTTTAGGGATTTGATTTGATTTTACTTTTGGAATTTATTTAATATACAAGCAATATTACTAATTTACCCTTATTGATTTATTTAAAAATTTAATTTGTGCTAAATTCTGATTGGTCCATATGTGCACACAATACTTGTTGAAAACATTTGAACCTAACTCTCTCTCTCTCTCTCTCTCTCTCTCTATATATATATATATATAATATATATATATATATATATATATATATATATATATATATATAGAGAGAGAGAGAGAGAGAGGGAGAGAGAGAGCATGTTAAGTGTACTATATATAACTATAAGTATGATTGCAACAAATTGTATGTATCAAATTGTATGTATATATGTGAGATGTACCAAATACCACAAAGTAGGTAATCATTGTTAAGATGCTATTAATGTTGGTGCTTTATTCGATTTCCATTCAAAATGCAGTATAGTGAAAACCAAAACAAAATCACAAAACTAATTTTTCACCAAGCGTCCATGTGATTCATTTAAAAAATAATAAGCGGTGTAGAGAATGATACCTCAGTCAAACATCAAAGAATGTTGGTATATCTCAAAAGTTATGCTTTGTGTTTGTAAGTTGATGAACTCTTTCTCAATCTTTGCCTTGAAGGCTCCTAAGTTAGAAATGTCGCAGTTGTCTCACTGTCAAGTGCCTTCTTATTAATGATAAGATTACATGAACAAGATTGATCTATCTACTCCTAATTGATAGGAATATTGTTGTACTTGAATTACCATTATAATGTATCTTATATTCATTATAAATATCAATATACCTTACACTCCACATATTATTGGAGATGAATAATAATTACTCTAATATGGTATCAACCATATCCGATCCTCTTCTACTTCTCCTATTTTCATCTCGATCACCATGGCTAATGGCAGTACCTCCAACAATGGTACTCTCTCTCTCTCTCTCTCTCTCTCTCTCTCTCTCTCTCTCTCTCTCTCTCTCTCTCTCTCGTACATGCTTACTATTAAGCTCTCTTCATGAAACTTTATTCTGTGGAAAAACCAAATCATTCCCCTTCTCAAATATCAAAACCTTTTCGCACATCAATGGTGATTCCATTCATCCCTTTGAGACGATTTTGGTTGAAACAAGTTTATCCTAGTCCACTCGTACTAGATGGGGATGATCAATGTGAACTTTTAATCCTCCATACCTCTTGCAGAGATTTTAGGTCACTCGACTGCTCGAGAAGTGTGGACCACCCTTGAGTCGACCTACAACCATGACTCAGTTGAAAGAATGCAAAATATCAAAGATTCCTTAAGGAAACTTCAAAAAGGTTCGTCTACTGTCTCCGATTATGGTAAAAAACTTAAATCAATTTGTGATCAACTTGCAACAATTGGACAACTAGTGGACGAGTCCGACAAATCTTAATGATTTTTATGTGGTCTTGGTCCCTATTTTGAGACATTTTCAACTACTCATAGGGCTATCAAACCAAGACCTCATTTCCGTGATCTTCTCTCACAAGCTGAAGGGCACAAATTGTTTCTCCGCTATGTTCATGGTGCCACCACACAGCCAGTCACATTCAACGCCCATCAATCTCAATCCTCTAGCAGCTCCACCCATGACTATTTCTCTCGTGGTGGCCGTGGTGCCCATTCTGGTGGACGGGGGAGTGCTCGTCGCCCTCCTCATTGTCAGCTATGCCGAAAAGACGGGCATTAGGCTTCTCAATGTCCGGATCTTTTTACTTTTGCAACCCATGGTCCTAATCTTGATGCAAACTTAGCCCATGCCTTTACTGCTAAGTTTAATGTTCATGATAACTCCTCTGATTGGTATGTTGATTTTTGCGCTTCTACACACATGTCACCATCGGCTACTAATCTTACCACCTCCACTCCATACAATGGGAATGAACATGTTGCTTTTGGAAATGGTAATATTCTAAATATCTCTCAAATTGGTAAATCATCTCTTACAAAAGGTATTAATCTAGCGGATGTTCTTTTGGTTCCAAAACTTACCAATAATATTCTTTCCATAAGTACATTAACATCTGATTCTCCTGTTGATGTGTTGTTTTCTAATCATAAATTTGCAATTTAGAAATGACACACCAAGGAGGTGCTAGCAAAGGGCATGGTTGATAATGGACTCTATGTGCTTAGCATGGCATAAAGCTTTGGTTGCTCAACTAAACTCAAATCGATTGACTGCGTCTTATGAGCTCTAACATAGCCGTCTAGGACATGTTTCGTTTTCTACTATTTCTTTGTTACATAAACATGGTAATTTGTTTGTTACTTCTCTTTTACCTAAACCTACTTCTCTTTTACCTAAACCTAGTGTTTGCTCATCTTGTGAGATTTCTAAAAGTCATAAGCTTCTGTTTCCTTTAAATGAAAAACAATCTTTGCATGTGTTGCATATGATACATTGTGATTTGGGGGCCCTTCAACTGTTTGTTTCATCTACAGATGGTTATATATATTATGTTATTTTTGTCGATGAATTCTCTCGATTTACTTGGTTCTATCCCTTCAAGCACAAATCTAATTTTGCCACAGTGCTTAAATTTTTCTGGCATTTGTTCAAACTCAATTTTCATGCAAGGTTAAGGTGTTTCAAAGTGCAGGTGGCACTGAATTCTTAAACAACTAAAGTCAAACTTGACTAAAGTCGTTAGGTACGATTTAGAACTTTATAAAATATTTTGCTAGTGTAAGAGATGTGATTAATTACCATAAAATTAAACTTGGTTTGCATGTCTACTGCCTACCGGATATTTTTAACACTTGGGTGATAAAATTAAACTTGGTTTGCATGTCAACCCGATATTTTTAACACTTGGGTGATAATCGGTCAATAAAAAGTGAGTTGAAAATCGAAATAGTTCTCACTTTTATAAGGTCCGGTCTGTATTTTTTCAAAGTGTAGGGGTAAAACCAGAACTTCTTTTCACTAATACTTTTGCGCCGAATGTGAGTTTTGTGTAGACTGTAGTGTTTTCGAGGGGGAAACCGGCGTGGAGTCTGCTGCCGCCGTAGAAATGGTGAAAGAAGGAAAAACTCAACGTAAAATTCCCTCAAAACGGAGAAAGCTTCACAAAGTCGGAGATGAATCGAAAGATGATCGAATCAGCTTGTTGCCAAATTGCGTGCTTGTTGAAATCCTGTCTCGTTTACCCTCCACAAAAGACGCGATCAGAACAAGTACACTCTCTAAACGATGGGAACAGCTTTGGACTTTGCTTCCTATTCTAGTTTTCAAACATAATCAGGATAATCTCCCATGGTCCAATTTCGTTTTGTCGGTTGACAAAACCCTAACTCAATGTTGCCCATTGAAGCTCAATAAATTCGTAGTGAATACCAGTAGGTATAGCGGATTCGAATCACAAGTCAACAATTGGATTCGTTATGCTATAAGATGTAACGTTGAAGAGCTTGATTTAACATTACGTGGTGTGTCATTAGAAGCTGAATTTATGGTAGATCAATTTTTTTTCATCCGTTCATGTTTTACACATCTGACATTAGAAGGCTGCATATTGAATCCAACTGGGGCGATTAGTTGGAAAAATCTTAGGAGTTTGTGTATATCCAGTGGGAAATTAGATGAAGATTTGATTGAAAACATATTATCTGGTAGTCCTGTATTGGAAACTTTGGAATTGGAATGGTGCTATGGCTATAAGCGCCTCAATATTACTTCAAAAAGCGTAAAGAAGTTGGTGGTATCTGAATACTATGATGCTAACTACTTTTATGATGATCTTCATGATACTCTTGAAATCAATGCTCCAAATATTTTATCACTAACAATCAAAGGTGATCTGTTGTTGGAGAAGCTTTTTTTGCCAAGTGTGTCTTCTTTAGTCAAAGCTGACTTAAATTATACACAGATGCGGCATTTGATTAGAACACCTAAAGGAAGGAAGCTTAAAGGACTTATTCTAAACCTCCCCTATCTCAAGGAGCTTAAAATTGGAAGTTTCTGTTCTAAGGTAAAATTTCTTTTCCTCTCACAATCTATATCTTTATAAAAATTATAGAATCATTAGCTTTATTAGTACTTTACTGTTTATGGACCATTAATAATGTATTTGTTTCTGCTTCTTGGGTTTCTGTATATTCTTACCAGATGTCATAGCTATATTTTTGCTTGCAGTATTCATAAGTAATACATACATGCAATGCATGGATCTAATTTTTGTTTTCCTTTTCACTTGTATTTTTTTGTTGGTAGGTTGTGCCTCATTTGGAAGCTAAAGGTTTTGTTGTTCCATCAAATATCACATCTCCTGGTGTTACTTATAATTGGTCTGATAGTGAGAGTGAGAGTGAAAGTGAGAGAGAGAGTGAGAATGATTCAGAGTGATTCAGTTGAAAGTAGAGACTGGTGATGCATTGAATTCATGTTTAGGCATTTTTGTTATTGTGAAATATTTTCATCTTTTGTGTTTTGGATCATTTCTTACTTCAAATTATCGATCGATTGACCGTTTAGCATGATCTTTCTTTATTTGGTCGATGCATTATTAGTTGTTACTCCAACGCATTTATTGTAGTTTATAAGCCTTGTTTTTGTTTGTAATTTCCATTCTTTATGATTTATGGCATTTTCTTGAGCAATTCAAATATTTCATATCCGTTTAAAATATCAATTCAAATGTTTGTTATACTCTTCCCGACAAACGGTTATGAAACATTACCTAATATGGAAAATCATATCATCATTAGCTTTAATAGTACTTTATTGGTTAACCTTTTTTTTCAATTAACCTTCACT